CTTGTCCAAACTTCGGCACTATCACTCCATTCACCACCGTACTCGTGCCTTGATTTGTACTAGGTCTTGCGTTTCCGCCTCTTCCTCCATATCCTCTAGGCGCTCCTCTACCACGACTTCCTCTACCTCGGCCTCTATGGTTACCACCATTACTTCCACTCATTTCCGCGTAATCGTGGTGGAATTGTCTGTGAGTGTGATTGCTTTCATTGAAGAACTGGCCGTTTTGAGCGTGAGACTGACTTCTGCCGCTAGGAGCTAGGTGAGACAACATTCTACCGCCCGTTACGGCTGTAATCTGCTTGTTTGCATTTGACACTGCATCCCAACCAAATTGAATTCGACCTGTTGCAGGATTGACATTCTCCATTGTACCTCCTACGATATACGGATTATCGAAATATTTGTGATCCTCATTTGCTTTCGAATCAGCAATAGCTTGTTCAACTAATTCTTCATTTCTAACTCCAACATCCGACAATTCACCATTCTTGAGCGTATGACTGAACACATTTGTTCGGTGAGTGATATCGTATCTAAGTGCCGGTGCGAAGGCTTCATGACATTTTGCTTTTATGGATAGCACTATCTTATAATGCTCTTCTAGCCGACTAGCAATATCTTCTCTTCCATACTTCAATCTCCAGTATTGCACGTATAAATTGAATGATGTTGACCACATTAGGAAACTCTGTTGCCATTCACTCGGCACCTTTAACCCAACGTACGCTACCACGTCCGAGCAAGATGAGCTCTGCTTCCTGCGGTTCGACATATGATTCTTGTCTTCCAAAAGCCAGGCAGGTACAAAGATTGTGAGAGGAACATAACCAAAACAGGCCTTCATTTTACTATCCCAATAAGGTGCTAAATCAATTAATTTGTGAGTTAAAATTCTTCCGGTCTCCATTTTCTTCCCGACTTTAGCTGGTTTGTCTGAAGATTTATCTTTAGCTTTCCTTTTTCCGGCACACGCTTCTTCTTCATCTTCCTCATCACTCGATATGGCTAACATCTTGATTGATCTAGGTTCTGATCCGAATCTTTCACACCATTTCAAATACGACCGCTCTAGAATCTCATGGCGTCCCGTATTTCCTTTTCTGTACTGTCTAGTCAACTCTTCGATATAACGTTCATGTTCTCTTTTGATATGAGTGTTTTCTTTCACAAACGCTGCTTTGTCTTCTGCAAATAGTTTAACACACCCAAGACACACACACAACATACTTGTCAGTACTAGGCTTTATCGGACGCTTTCGTCTTCCTTGGACATCACGCTTGCTATGACTTTACAGAACACAACATTATAGAACACTTCCGCATTTCCCAAGCTTCAACCGACTACTTGGTCATTCCCTTTCTGGATTTCAATCAGGATATGTTCTGTTATCATCACGGATTTGATATTTGTTCGGACGTAAAAACCCACATCGCACAACACTAGACTATTTTTGGGTACATATAACACGACATATATCACACGACACTAGGCATCTTCTTTTCTGTGATCTGTTCCACCCGTGTGGTCTCGGAATCTCTTTCATCAAGCTTCACTCTGTGAGCTGTTCCACCCGTGTGGTTACAGTCCTTCTTCATATAACGCGTGTAGGAATGTTGGGGAGATAAAGATTGATTGCGAAAGGTGGATAGGACGGGGGTGTGTAAGTTGATTTTTGGGCTCACCTAATGAGATGGTATCCTCATCTACATCATCTTCCTCGTAAGTTTTCTCCTTTACCTCCTCCGCTTCTCCTTCAACCTCTTTTTCTCTATCATCACTACTTTCAGTCAATTCACTTCCTTCTTCTTCTTGTTCTTCTCCTGCAGATACTTCTACCGGTTCTCTAATTTTTCCTTTTACAACACTTCTTGTCTGGCGAGCTGTTGTGGTGCCTCCTCTTCCTCGTCTTCCGCCTCTGCCTCTACCTTGATTGGACTTCCCTTTTCCTCTACCTCTATTCGATCCTCCTACTCCTTGATCATTTTTGTCTTTTTCATGTTGAGATAGAATTGAATCCACATCCTTGTTGAATACGCTTGTTGTTTCCTGTTGTTCAGACATTATAATTCTTGAATATTGTTCTATTTTTGAAAAATGAAATGTTGATATTTCTTTTTAAGTCTGAAAACCAAAATTGTGTATTCGAAGCTGAGGTGTATGAGAGGTCTGAAGTGTACAGAACTGTGAAGTTGAAAATTTTCACAGTTTGTATCACTTCTCTCTTTGACGGGTCCGGGTCTTTCCTATGGCCCCGTCCTCTGGCTCATACACCGCGTCATCCGTCCCGATGGAACTCACAGATGATGTCGTGCCTTTGGCCACCAGTGTCAAGAGATATGAGGATGCAAGAAATGTCTTAAGAAACTTGATTTCACGCAGAAACAAATCTCGACAACTTCAAATCGCTATCTTATAAAAAACTAGATGAGATCTTGACGTTTGTGATGTAAAAATTCATAGATGGCAGACGATGATTTTGATCCTACTACTCAATCAAATCAACTTACCTTGATTTTTTGTAAAAATCTGATGAATGTGCTGTGTTAATGTTCAACTTCAAGGTTGCAATCAGTGATGAATTTATGATCAAACTAGAAGGGTCTTTCCAGTGTTTCCAGATCTCACAAAGCCTTGAATGAAACTACACCAGGGGGTAAGTGGCACGTTCCAAAACCAGAATCAATGGCGTTGCAGACACGTTATGACATTTCAATTGTTTTGGAACATGTCCAGAAGGTGTCCAGGTTTTACGAAGCAAAAACGCTGCGATCACGTAGAAGTCACCAAAAAGCAAGCTGTATTCAAGAGTGCTGGACCCATCGATTGACAGCTCAGCCGAGCAAAGACTGACGAGGTCAAACACATCGCATCACAACCAGATGGTTGCACTTGGCTCAAGGTATTGTCTCATGCGAGTCTTGACCAACCTTCATACCATCTTTGACTGCAATTTTTGGTCGTTTTGAACCCACAAAAACCGGTGAAAGCAACTGATTCTCACACGGTTATCCTCATTTCGTCACCGGAACGGCTGTGTCTTTGTTCTGGCAACAAGATTCCTGGACACCTATCCAGAACCATCGGAGGCCGAGGAAGTTTACCCCCTGGTGTACGTACTGATGGCAACAATTTGAACTATGAAAGTCAAGGAAGAACAATAAAAGCATTATTGATCATTTGCTCGTCACTCATATAGTCTGTGAAGGCATTGAGGCACTCGGAGAGGTAAATATTCTACACAAAGAGAAGAAAAACGATCACCCCTTTCCGACATATGTGTAAGTATGGTTTCTTGACGTTCTTTGGGGTCACAACATTTGATTGGGGCGTGCTAAATTGAGCATCCAGCTTGGAAACAATCTAAATATATATCAATCCACATAGCTGCACAAATTGCTTCAAAAGATTACTACAGCCATATGCGAAATTGATAAACTTGTGAGATACTCTTGTTTAGTTTTCAAAACAACTTCTTTGAAAATAGATACAGGTGAAGTAGCCCTAAAATCACATTGAGGCTCACAGGCACATTGTATTGATCCCAATACTTGGGGTCTCCTTTATTTGATGATATAAATTTATAAACCAAAAGAGCAACTGCATAACACTGTTTATCATGGTCCATTGGTGATAGCACTTGGATTTATTGCTTATTGAACCATAGCTGTCATCTAAGTTAATGTAGGTCTATGTTCATTTAAGATCGGAATATATGTTACAGTTGGAGTGATTTTGAGTTTCAATGTACTTGTGAACATTTTGAAAAGCATAAGGCATTATAGTTGATAGAGAAGCAGGCCTAGAATGTTAAAGGTTTATAGATGAATTCTATTGTTAAGATCTTGACTCTTTGTGATTACGAGTTGAAAGAATGGAGTTTCAAAATCACAAAGGAGATATTGATAAGAAATACTGTACATGTAAAAGAAACAAGGAAGGTCACAAAGATTGATCTGTCAGGTAATCTCCAACTAAGGTTTGATGCTACACAGGAAGAGAAGTTCGAGTCAAAGGAAAGGCAGGCCAGGTCAAGGTCTAGAAGGACATCATAATCAGCGAGGTTCAATCTCTATCATTCAATCAAAAACTACCCACACTCAGAACATCATGGCTGGTACGGGTACGCGAAACGCCGACGCCGGTGTATGACTGCTTTGATATCGGCCTCTTCACAATAATTTTCCAACCAAACCAATTCACCTTCGATTGCTTGATATTGTGGACTTTGAGCGTCTTCCTGGGAATAATGATTAGGAAGTACTGTTAGATTCTTGAGCTCAGGCCAATTGGCTCGGAACAAAATCCCATTGAGTGTCCTGCAATGTTCTACTGTCATGTAGTTCCAGTAAAGAGTTCTCAGGGATTTACAGTTTCGGAAGCTGTCAAGTAAGTGGGGGTTCTGGGCACAAAGGGTCAAGTCAATTAGATGTGGAAGAGAGAAACGAATTTCAGCATTCCAGGCAGAGTCTGTTTCCAAGCTGTTATCATCTTCTTTAAAGCAGAGCAACAGTGTTTTGAGGTGAGGTGCAATGTGCTGAATGATTTGATGCACCGTAGTTGATGATAAAGCATTACAACGGCAAATTCTCAGGTGAGTGATCTTCTTTGGCCAATCGTAAAGGCACCAGTTTTCATTTATACCTTCAATGCTAAATAGAAACAATGTTGATAAATGCTGGAGTTTGGATAGAATGAGTCCAGGTGGACCATCACCAAGACTTCCTTGATCTGCTGATACATCTAGATCAAAACATCTAAGCGACTCAAGCAAAGGTAGACCAAGAATAAGTTTTGATGGAAATGCCAGCACGTTTTCCTCGCTCGCGCGATACGATAATGACAAATGTCGGAGTTGTTTGAGACCAGTTATGAGAGGAGATAAGTCTAATAGAAAATTGAAGACTTCGACCCCCGCGCCTGGTTCTCCATCAAGCTCATACCAAAAGTTCAGCGTAGAAAGATTGAAGCATAGATGGATCAATTTTTTTACGTTCTCTGGGGAGATACACTGAACACCAAATTGACTTTGAATGGTGAGATTATCGTAAAATGAATCACGTTCGGCAAATCCTACAGGTTTACCACAGTTTTTAGAGAGCTCAAGTTCTAGAGACTGGACAAGAGAGCCTTGCTTGAGGAGAATGTCTTTGGTCCATAGATCTATGGGTGCTGGAAGACGAGTAGGAAATTTGAGTCTCTGAAGACTAGAATTAGTGATTTTGTGATAGAAATCTCAAAATAAGTAGAGTTTTATAAATGACTCACTCGCCACAACCATGGTCGACATATTTGATATACTTCACGACAAGTAATTGCAAAAGTTTGAATAGTATTCAAGATTGGCGAGTTTCGGTGCAAATAAGTCATGTATGGTTGCTTGTTGCCTGAATTGGAGATCACCACGGTGCTCTGGTGCTTTCGATGCTTGATTTCGGAAGCTTCGATCATAGCCATGATTTCAAGTCTTTCAAGTATCTTGTGAAATATCTCGAGAGGTAAATCCAAGAGACCAAGCCGACGAGTTTTATGTTCTAATTCTTGAATTTGAACCACTTCTTTAACGACATGGGATGAGATTTCAGATCTAAGAACAACACGAGATTCTAATAGTTCGTTGAAGGTGATCAAAAAGAATGGGCTTCGTTGGCCTTCCGGTAGGCCCAGTTGAAGGAAGATACCGAGTATCGAATCCTTGGACCAGACAAAACCTTCCGAGTCAAGTCTGTCGAAACGCCTTTGAATGAAGTCAAGATGTCTCTTCACTGGCTCATTCAACTCGTGGCCTTCTGAAGCGATCTCGCGCCATAGTTGAAGCTGAGTTGCGCGACAGGACAATGTCATCCTAAAATGCAAAGGCTAGTCCTTATATTTTCGAGGGGTTCGACCAAGGATAGATCAGAGGAACTTCCGATGAACTGTGAATTGTATCTCAAAGATAACTGCTGTCGAAGGTACGATGTCGAGAGATGTTTGGAGAAGCAGATGGTTATTATCAACTCTTCATGAATTCCCTAAGGGTACGTTTGGTTGCGATTACAGATTGTAAACTCCATTTGACCCCAGGTACATTGCCCCGGGGCAATTGAGTTTATTGGTCAAATGGAGTTTTTCTCAAACAAACTCCGTTATGGGTACATTTGACAAAATCATGTTTGGTTGAAATTTATCCCAATCAGACGTATCTTGTCAACTTTCTTTAAAAGTTCCTCACCTCCTCTCACTTCACATTACACCACCTCACATCCACCCATATGGACATCCTTTGCCAATGTCTGTTCCAAGTAATGAACACATGACACAATCTATGTCCCTATCCGACAAAATTTTCAATCGAAGTCGATGTTGAACGATCGATTGGAATGAAACGGGTGAATTTGAACAACTGACTGGAATTGAATCGTCAATCAAAATTCAACACTCTCCTCCACTTTCTATGTATTTCATCTTTTAAGAGCTATCTGTTTTTGTATCTTTTGATGTTCTACAATTGATCAAGGTTGAGTGAACAATTGCTTTTGAACATTTGATTGGAATCGACCGATCGATTGAAATGACTGATTGATTGAAATTGCACAATCAACCAGAAATTGAACGATTGATAACTCAAATCTACAAACAGAAATGGTTTCCAAGTTTTCATTGTGCAACACAAAAGATAGTAACTTCTGACACCAAAGCAATCAGAATTAGATTCAGTTCTATATTCATATTTGAGAAACAGAAGATAGATTTGAGGCAGCTAGGAGCTAAAAGTAGAAGTGAAGATTACCTGGTAAGTGTTGAGTGTGATGGTGTAGTGTTGAAGGTGTTGATCGAGTTGAAGAAACAGCATCCGGTTTGCTTGCTATGACACCGAGGAAGGTCAAAGCTGGTCAAAGACTTTCGAGATGAAGTTTTGTTAAGTCCAAAAAGGAGTTTATCGCATGATTAAACTCCCTTTTGTCGTTTATCAAAAGGACCCTTTTAAACTCCTTTTGGGACGGGGAAGGAGTTTATTTTGGGGTACCATAAATGGTCCCAAACGTATTTTTTCAACAGCGATTATTTTGCAAAATAATCGCCAAAAATAATCGCTACCAAACGTACCCTAAACGGCTGAGTAAGAAAATCAAAGAGTTGGCTCTGGCAGCCGCAGTTTGTGTGCAACTGGCATGCCACACCTCACACTGGAATAAGTACATCGTGTTTGCAGCTGTCACCATCAAGTTAGTTTCCATCTAAAAGCCTTTAGCAATTGCGCGGTGCTCTGTCATGCATGAATTTTCTATCAGGTATAATGCAAGAAAACATTCATCTTAATCCAAGCTTTCCATGACACGAGGATTCCGGTTACAAGGAAGATTGAGTGGATGATAATAGCCGAAAGGCTCTGCAAGCACTTCAAGCAATGAAAAAAATGTAAGCGAAATAATGAAAGTGAAAGTGATACAAAGGGAATGACCAACTTTTTTTCAATTGAGTGTATTTATAAAGTGCGATACCTGGCCCTAGGGCATAAAAACACACTGAGCACTCCCAATGCTTCTTTCTTCAAATCTGATCTTCCAATAAACCCAAGAGGAAAAAAAACTCATAAAAAGGTTTTATGTATATATATGAAATTCCAACACCATGAATTCTCAATCACAAACTTAAATTTTCTTTTACAATCAATAAACAACACAAAGAAAAAAGAATGAAACCCAATTAAACCATATCCAACTCGTTCTTCATGTATCAAATCAGATCCTCAACCCGTTCTTTTATTCCTACCATTTTCTTCTACACCATCTTCTGCTTTCCTTTTACCTTCCCTCCCATTCCCATTCCCATTCCCATTCCCATTCCCATTCCCATTCGCACTTCCATTCAAACCAATCAAAATCTTAGACTTAGATTGATGATTACTTGAATTGATTTGATTAGACTCCAATACCGAATTCAATAAGCTTTTCTGATTAGCAATCGGTTTAAACCCAGCTTTTCTAGGAGCCATCAACCCAGAAGGAGTAAGGAACCCATCCATTCCCATCCCACTATTAGAAGATGAACCTAACCCGTTCATCAAATCAGGTGCAACCGAAATTGTATGTTGTTTACGTTGATGAGTATTAGATCCGAGTGATTTAGTTTTAGAATCTGATTTTGATTTCTTCGAACTAGACGATCCTGTTGTGGGTTTAGTTAAAGATGAAAGAAATTCTTCTTGATGTGGGGCTGATCCTTTGTTTCCTACTGATAAGACCATGGTGGCTGATCCTAACTTTTCTTGTCGTTTTCGAAATGCTTCATTTGTTCCTGTAGGTGTATCACCTGACGCCATAGCGGCCTAAACAAAGAATCAAAAAAGCAAAGTCACCTTAAAATTAAATTGATCAACGATTTCAAAACAGAAAGTTTCAAAACTTACCAGTTTTTTCTCTTCTTCAATCTTCTTAATTCGTTTTTCAGTTTTAGCTTTCCCACTACCTTTACCATGAAACTTATGAGATAAAGCTTTCCAAGCTTCTTTCTGAGTTAATTCTCTACCAAACTCATCATTATATTTAATTTCAACATCAGGTTTATAATTCTTATAAGCTTCCATTGATTCTTTGGCCATCATAGACTCTCTCATCCTATTCTCATATTCTCTCGTTGCTTGATCTTTTGCATCTCCCATCCTCTTGGTTCGTTCTTTTTCTAATTCTCTCAATGTATCTCGTCTTCTTTGTTCAATCAACCAACTTGTCTTTTCTTTATACAATCTTTCTTTTTCTCTTTCTTCTGGTGTTAATGGTTTAATCAATCCTTGGGATTTAAGTAATGATAATGTTGATGCCATTCCTCCTCTCACATACTTTTCAGCTCCTGTACCTCCATACTCGGATGTATCTTGTTGATCCGGAAGGATTTCTCCTTCTGCTTTACCATCTATTTGCATCGGTTCATCACCTGCCATCAATCTTTCCATCGTCCTACGTTCTTCTTCTTCATCAACTTGTGATTCAGCTTTCTCCGATTCTTCTCGATGAGATTGATTTTCGATGACTAAATTTGTCGATTTGATTCTTGATGAGTTGATTTGTGATTCTTCTTTTTTCCGTGCTGCTGCAGCTCTTTCTTGTTGTAAACTAATCGTTCTAATAAACTCTGATGTATCATCTATAACCAAAGCATCCGGATCATCATCCTCTTCTTCATCTAGTCTAGGTTGTGATAGATTTAATTCGACTCCGTTTTCTCCTTGAACATCTTCCATTGAAGTAGGTTCCAATTCTTCTAATTTCTTTTGCCTTTTATTCCTAATCTTTCCTGCTTCTCTACGCATACGTGACATAGCAGCTTGGATTTCTTCATCATCAATCATACTATCTTCATTTACAATCGGTTTTGAAGGTACAGCATTTTCTACTCCTCCTGTTGAATCGATTTCCATTTGATTTGATAAAGGTTTTAATTCATCTTGTTCTAATAAAGCAGTGGGTTTTCGACTCGATTTTTCCTTTTTCTTTTTAGTTTTCTTGATCTTTTTGAATCCTGTTTCTCCTTCCTGTACATAATCTGAACCAATAGTTTCTAAAAACAACCCAAAAATGCATATCCAGAAATCCAATAAGTTTGAATAAAATCTTGTGGATAAAGAGGATCAAATGAAACTTACTTGTATACTCTAAACTCATCAATCCAGTTTTCAAAAGTTCAGCAGTCTTTTCCTTCGAATTCCTGTTTCGCAAATCATCTGTACTCGTACTTTGAACCATAACCGATTCATCTAAACTCATCCCAACCCCAAGTCTAAACGATTTTTCTTTCTTACCATCAATTTCTTCATTATACTTTGAAAGGATTTGATTAGATTGACCAGGATTAAGAAACTCGTCATCATCATAACCTGTATATTGTCCTGCACTTTTTCCTTTCTTCTTAAGTGAAAGTAATTCTTGATCTCTTGCAGCTTCTTTCATATTCACATTTTCTAATTCATCATCTTCTTCATCCAAGATTCGATTATCTTTAAGAGTCAAGACCACTTCATCTCCTTGTTCGAATTCATCAACTTGATGTGCCACTTTCAACCCTAAAAGATCATTTTCTCCATAACTAGCCACTTCTTGTTCTGCAATCTCTTTTTCTTTTCTAATAGCTTCCTCTGCTAATCTCTTTGATTGTTTCTTTTGTTTCTTAACCCATTTCTTTAAATCATCTGTTTCTTCTTCTCCTACCAATAATTCTCCTAACCCTCTACCTTTTAATTTAGATGAAAGTTCTCGTTTGTTTTTTGCTCTTAGAATTCTTTCTTGAATCTCTTTGGTCTTCTTGGCTTCTGATTCTTCTTCTTTTCTACGTTTATAATTGATTTCTCCTTTCTCTTCTGATGTTAATTCGTTTTCGAGTTTTGAAGTTTCATTTGAACCGGGTACTTTTAATGGTTTTAATCCTAGTGATACTCTGATCTTGTTGGTTTCTTCTATTGATAAACTTTCTTTGACTTGAGACATGTTTGTATTGAGTTCTTGAAGGAATGAGATTGAATGTAAGTTGAAATGGATTGGTTGAGATGGTGTTAACTTCTGTGGTGAATCGAATTGGATTGATTTTCACTTGATAGACAGATCCGGCATTATCGTGCTATAAGCATATCCTAGTACCCTACTCGCCTCTAAAACCCATGACACCCATCCCATAACTTTTTATTTCATCTCCGAAGAACAAATTCAACACTCAGCACTACCAAGAAACATATCAAACCAAAATGTATGCAGACTTAAACATCCCATGGCCAACTACACATCTAATACATTTATTTAATCAACAACAACAACAACAACAACAATCATCAAAAAAAGGAAAATCAAAATCAAATCAAAACCAATCCAACATCAAAGAAACCTTAAATATTTGGAAAGGAATCGAACCCAACGAAAAACAAAAATTAAGAGAAAGAGTTGAATGTGCCATCAAATGTAAAGTGCCTCCCATTTCCCGCTCAAAACAAAAAAAATCCCACTTCCAAAATGATCCAAAAAAACTGATGATTTGGTTTGGGGGGGGAAAAGTGGGTTATAGTGTGATAGCTTTTAATTTAATAATTCCTCAAAACTTAGATCCGATTTTACTTTCATCATATTTTCCATTTCATTCAAACGAACCACCTTTTCCAGATCTAGATCCACGTACTTCAACTAAAGTTTTCAAAAATGGTTATCATCATACGGTTTTACAATTAAGTAGATTGACTATGGTGATGGATGAAAGTGTTGCTTCAGGTGGTAAAGGTGTCTTTGGGTTTGTGAGTTTCTTGATTTTTCATTGAAAAGAAGGTTGAACACTTGATGAAGATTAGAATGTCAAATTTACTGATTCGAGTAATTGTTTTTATTTAGTCAACTTCTCAAACAAGTTATTTATCCAAATATTCACTTCTTTCAGCCATGCCATTAGATGCCGGATCTTTCAGTCATGCTTGTTTATCTTTATCACCACCAACTGCTTCAGGTATAGATATCATCACCCTAGACCTCTCAAGTGCCCCAAAACGTAAACCCCTTCGATTCCCAATCTAAACTATTCAACGAACCAATCCAAACTGATCATTTTCTTGGAAATGCATTCTATAGTTCCATTTCAAATGTCACTCTCAACCGTTTCAAAAGCACTAGAAAACAACGTCGGATTCGAAATCTGTTACAGCCCTACCACATCATCTAAACCGATCAAGACAACTTACTCAGCCTATACCTTTCCATGTGCTTCGGTCTCGTCATCAAATCATCCAAACCATCATCCAGTCTTACGAAACTTTTCAGCTTGTGCAAAAGATTTAATCAGAGTCACTAATCGTGGTAAAGGATTGATTATCAGTTCTGGTGCTTTGAATTGGAATGAACTTAGATCGGCTGATGATCTTGCAAATTTGTAAGAAACTTTTTGTCTTTCCTTTGGAGGATTTTCATTTACTTTTGATAGTTTGGTTTTTTTTGCTTTCTGAGACTTGTTTTTTTTTTGGGAAAAATAGTGCAAATGTTTTAGGTCTTTCACAAGATTCTGCTCGTCGTACATTAACAAGTCATCCAAAATCCATTGTATCAAAAGCAAGTTAAGTAACAAACTCCTTTTTCTCCTTATTCACCCCAAAAAAACATTTAATTCGAATTCCTCATGAATGTTTTTTATGTAGTTTCAACCCGACAAACACATAAAGGAGTGATTTCCAATCCAGTACTCATCACTATCACAACCCAAGAAACCCAAGAAACAGAAGAAAAAACAGAAGATCAAAAAACAGAAGACCAAAACGATCCAAGTTCATCAATACCCAATTCACTCAAACGTCTCAACCCTCCAAGCCCTTCACCACCACTAACCAAATCAATTCACCCAGATCCAACTCCCAATCAACCAAATCAAACTCCAAACGATCGACCAAACAAGAAACAAAAAAAAGAAACTCGATCAAAGCTTAATCTCTAATTCAGATTAAACTCAATCCCACTTCAAAACGTATTTTTGTACATGCCTTTTTGTCTTTCTTTGTGAATCAATTTAGATATAGTATACAAAACTTGAACATTTCGGATTTCTTGAGTGAAGATTTGTGCGGTTGTTTTTTTGGTGAGGCGGTTGTACAAAATCGAAATCCAATTGAACTTTTCTTTCAGGTCATATATTATTAAAGACTTTTCAGGAATATGAAGGTTTTATTCTTTTTGATTTGATGTGAAAACTTGAAAGTCCAAATGATATGTACATGATTCAACCTGAATGAACCAAGTTGAAGTAAGAATCAAAGGTGTTTAAAAACCAAAACAAGTTGACCAAGTGAAGTAAAGGATATCCAAATTCCTCATGAGATCATCTTCTGGATCAAAGGATTCAACTTTTTCAAAACCCCTTTGAATGTCATGTTCTAAAACCTCAAGCTCAATGAAATTCATTTCTCCATGTTCAAGCCTCATTTTCTCTTGCTCAAGATCCAATTCCTAGCTACCACTCCAACTTATCTTTCTTTTAAACATTTCAAATCAAAGCTTTAAACAAACCTTGACCATTGACCTGAGTTCTTCAAAAAAGAAAATCCAGATATTTATATATAAGAGACCTTAGATGTACTTCTTATACCTTACATTCACTCAACTTGAACTATAAATAAAGGTTCACTTTAAGTAAAGTTCAAAAACTAGAAGATCAAATGCATGAAAACGAATCATCAATTTCTTCAAATCCAATTCCAATCCAAAAAATAAACACATAACTCCAAATCCCCAACCTCCTCTCCAAGAACCCACTAAAACAACTTCAACCCACCCAACCCAACCTCTTTCTCTTTCACTTCCTCTTCACCAATCCCATCCAAACTCTCAAACCCTCTACCAAGCAAACTACCAAACAACTCATCCTTCGATTCGTCTGTCCATAAATCCGTTGGAACAGGTACCATAAAACTCACAATCTTCTCATGAACATGATACCTTATCTTTCTTCCTTTTGAAGCTTTTGGATCTACATTCGGGTGATGAGTTCTTTGAGATCTATTCGTTGGAAAACCAGTAGGATCTATTGTCCAAAAAGAACCCCACAACCATCAAAATCATTAGAAAACTATCGAAACATCAAGTTAAGAAAAAAAGTGAAATGGATGGGTGTTTACCTGTTTCTCGAAGATTCGTGTCTACCACTTCTTTCAATAAAGACAAATAAAAATCCCGATCATCAAACTGATCAAATTCTTCCACTGACTGATCTACTAAACCAATCTGATCTTTCTTCATATTCGGTTTATGACGTTTCAATCTAGTTCGTTCAATTAACCTTTCTTTTTCTTCTGACATCTTCCATAAAGTATCTAATTGGTTTAAAACATTTTGGTTGACCGAATTGAATTTCTTATGTGAGTTTGTTAAACTTGTGGCTGAATTGATTTTTGTTGACCATTTTTGTATCGTTGTACGTAAATAAGGTGAAAGTCTATTACGAAAAAAACACCAAAAAAAGATTAAGATTTGTTTGGTTTTTGAGGAAAATCGAGGAAAAAGTGAAAACCAAATTTATCGATTTTTTTTTTCGGGAATTCTTACATTTTATCTAATTCTTGGGTTTCTTCTATACAACTTTCCAAGTTTGGTTCGCTTTCTGATTTCCGTTTTTTCAAAACCCGATCTGGAACCTCCAGTAAATCATTCTTCATCATCATTTCCTAAACTCCCCAAAAAACCCAGTCACATCAGTTTCTCATCATTTCATTTCATCTTATGAAGTTCAAGTGAGACTTACCGATCTAAGGTTTCCTACACTTGAACTAAGTGAAATTAATTGATTTAAAACAGTTTGAGTCGAATAGGCTTCTGGTATACCTTCTTTTGGAATTATCTAAAATAAAAGAAACCAGTTTGATCAGATAATTTGAATGGATTTTTTTGGGGTTGGGTTAGAGAGAGAATCTAGACACTTACTTGTGAAATCTCATTTGTTGCTGTTAAGACTTTTTGTAAGCCGATTCTGAATCCCAACAAACTGTCATAAACTGCCTAAAAACCCCAAATCCCCCCAAAAAAGTGTAATCATCAGATTTTCAAAAAAAGAATAACTCAATGGTGAGGTTTTGGGGGCTTACTAATTGAGATTTGATGGCTTTTCCTTTAACGAGATCAGCTTTGACTGATGCTTGTAATTGTTTAACTAGTAAGTTGTTTTCGGGTCTGGTTGGGGGTTCGTCTTCTTCGAGGGGTTTGGATGATCCGAGTTGTGGTTTGAATTTTAGGAGATCTGGTGCTGGATCGGATGGATCTACTTCTTCTTCATCATCCTCGTCTTCATCCTCGTCTTCGTCATCTTCCTCGTCATCTTCTTCGTCTTCGTCATCTTCTTCGTCTTCGTCATCTTCTTCGTCTTCGTCATCTTCTTCGTCATCATCATCATGTGAAAGATCAGAACCGTCATCCTCATCCTGACCCTGAATATCCTTCCTAGAAACCTTTTTACCCGAATACTTATTCAAAGAATCATTTTCAAGTTCGAATTCGAATTGGTTTCTCAATTTACTTGGTGGAACTGAATGATATTGGGTTTGAGATTGAGAGTTGGTTGGTTTTGGTTTTGAATCGATTGAATGATATGAATCTTCTGGATCTAATTCTGCTGGTGTACTTGATGAGATGGATTTGATTAGATCTGAAAATGAACTCATTCTTGATGTCTTGGATGGTTTGATAAGACAGAGTAGCTTCAAATTGGTATTTTTTGTTCAAAAGGTTGGATCATGTGACTATGCTGTTACATGTGGGTTTGTTACATGTGAGTTTGTTACATGTGAGTTTGTGTGTGTTTTTAAATCTTCACAGCTGATGATCAAATGGATGATCTCTGGTTGGTCGGATTGATCCAGAAAAGCAAATTCACTCTTCTCTTGACCATTCAGAATCAAAACCTCAAAAACCAATTCACTTCAACCCATCCATCTCATCATCAACAAAAAAACAAAAACAATGGAACAACATCTAGCCACTCAACAAATGAGACTCTTCAAGACAATCTGTCCATACCTAGCTCGTACTTCTCCCATCACTCTACGTAAAATGTCAACTAGCTCGATCATGGGTGTGACCAAACTCAGACACCGAGCCCAACACTGTCCGATCCTAGGTCCTGTCTTGTCTTACAAATCTCAAGACATCAAAACTAGATCTTATGCTAAATCAACCACTTTAGGACCTTTGAATGATCCTTTTAAATTATCCACTTGTCCTCATTCTGCTTCCATTGATCAAAACAAAAATATCAACCTTCAACCTGTTTTGGGTTCCGGTACGCATCATGGGTTTGATTATGAACAGTTTTATCATGATGAACTTGAGAAAAAACATCAAGACAAAAGTTATAGATAGTCAGTTTTTGTTTCAATTTGATTTTCGGATGAAGATGATACTCATCAGTTTATTTGCTTTGCTTTGGTTAGTTTTAATAATGTGAATCGTTTGGCTGCCAAGTTTCCGATTGCTCATACGGCTGATCCGAAAGAAGAAGTCACAGTTTGGTGTAGTAACGATTACTTAGGAATGTCTAAACACCCAATCGTTTTAGACACCATGAGGTCCGTTGTAATCTTTTTTCCTTGCATCAATCTTGTGAACTTTCTAACCCGATTTTCTTTTCGATTTTGATTTTACCAGACAAACCTTAACAAAGTATGGAGCAGGAGCAGGAGGAACCCGAAACATTGCAGGAAACGCAGCATTACATCTTTCATTAGAATCCACCTTGGCCGAATTACATCGAAAAGAATCAGCCTTAGTGTTCAGTAGTTGTTATGTAGCCAATGATGCGACTCTAAGCACTTTGGGATCCAAGTTACCAAACTGTGTGATCTTTTCAGATTCATCAAATCATGCATCTATGATCCAAGGTATCAAACATTCCTTAACTGAAAAAGTTATTTTCAAACATAATGATTTAGTAGACTTAGAGTTCAAATTAAATCAGTATCCTAAACATCAACCCAAGATTATTGCTTTTGAAAGTGTTTATTCAATGTGTGGTTCGGTAGGTCCGATTAAAGAGATCTGTGATTTGGCTGAAAAGTATGGTGCGATCACTTTCTTGGATGAGGTTCATGCCATCGGTATGTATGGACCACGTGGGGCTGGTGTAGCTGAACATTGTGATTATGAATTACAAGCCAATGGTGGTGGTGGTGGTAGAGGTACTGTGATGGGTAAGTCTCTTTAATCTTGAAAAAAATCATATGTGAAAAGGATTGACATTCTGGGTGTTTTTGAATCAGATCGTGTGGATATCATTACGGCTACACTTGGAAAAGCGTATGGAGTAGTAGGAGGTTACATAGCAGGCAAAAGCTCATTAGTCGATTTAGTTAGATCATATGCACCTGGCTTTATCTTTACGACTTCATTACCTCCTGCAATTGTTGCAGGAGCTCAAGCAGCGGTTAGGTATCAAATCGATCATCTTGATGATCGTAGATTACAACAACTTAATACTATTGAACTTAAACATCGATTGATTTATGAATTAGATTTACCTGTGATGGAGAACCCTAGTCATATTGTTCCGATCTTGATTGGAGATGCTGAGAAAGCTAAGATGGCTAGTGATCTTTTGTTAAACAAACATTCGATCTATGTTCAGTTGAGTGAAGTTTTTGTGATTTTTGAATTTGAATGGAAAAAGATATTGATTGATGTTTTGATTGGAATGAGAATAGATCGATTAATTTTCCTACTGTACCTAAAGGAGAAGAAAGGTTACGAATCACGCCTACACCGGGGCATAGTTTATTGCAAGAAACTGAATTGGTTCATGCTTTATCATCTGTTTGGAATGAATTAAATCTTAAGAAACTTGAAGATTGGAAACGTACTAAAGGCTTACATCTTTCGGATCGTGATGGTCATTCTTTAGGACATCATCAAAGGATTTGGAGTGATCATCAGTTAGGTTTGAAGGATGGAACTAGCCCGGTTAGGATTGGTAGGGATGATAAAAAGTTGGAAAGTGGTGAAGGATTGAAAAATGAAAAGGAGGAAAAAGAGAAGGTTTTGTTGAAGAAGAATCAAGTTCGAATCGAAAAGAATGGAGGGATTGAACTTTATTGAAAATGAAGTGATGGTTTTTTCCTCAAAACAAGAAAAATATTTAAACATGAGGTGTTTTTCTTTTCATTATTACTCTTTTGTTTTGTGTTGGATTCATGATTCATGATCTAAACCAACCCCCTCAAAAAAAAATTCTTTGTGATTTTGTTAGTGTTTCTATTTTGTGTGTGTTATTTTTGTGTGTGTTTTTGAGTAGCTATAAAATAAGTAATAGTAGTAGTAGTAAAGCAGAATGAGTAATTAATAAATCTCAATTTGATTTCAATCCATTGGTTATTGATAAACTATGTTTTAATGACTCATGATAAGGATCCACACAACCTAGAATCCTATGATTAATCATACTGGACAATCACTATTCAGTAGGTGATGGTTTTAGAACGTTTAGGTTTCATAAGATGCTCATACATCTTTTATTTACCATACTTTTACCTGGGAACCCAAAAGATACAGTATATCTGAGAGTTCCATCTAGCTAACTTGTGGAAGTCCTACACTCAGACATTCCTTGCTGTGAAGCTCAAGCTCAGTGGAAAGACTTTAAGATGAATTGGTTAGAGTAAACTTGGTAAGAGTCAAACAAGGAAGAATGTAAGAAACCAAGTTTAGTGTGGGATAAGAAGTTTTTCAATGGTTTAGAAAGTCTTACTTCTTCTTATTCATGACCCTCCACTTCCTAACATGGTTGTATCAGAGGTAAATATCTGATGATTGAGCAGTTTGATGGTGTTTTTGAAGGAAAGGGTAATCAAGGAATGCTTTGGAAACTTATTTGGGTGCTTATGAATTGGTTGGAAAAGGTTGGGGTTCTTTATGAAAGACTTGTGGATTGACTATAAGAGACATAAGGTTAAATGAGATCATGCCTTAATTTGAACACCTGCTTGAGACCATGACCAAACATGAGTCATGAGCCACAATTCTGGATTATAAGTCTTTCCTCACTGACACAACACTGAGTAAACAAGAGGCTAATGTGGAGGCTCAATAGTCTGCCCATTGGTAGAAAAATCCACAAAGAGTTGTAATCTCCTTACATTAACGTAGTTAGATAGATAGTGTGGTATGTGAAATCAAAAGCACTCTGAAAGAAAAAAAAAAACACTGAGTATGGAATGTTGGCAATGGAGGGGTCCTATGAGAAGTTGTGAAATGTGGGTCAAGTTGGATGAATTATGTTTGAAAGAAATGTACCTAGATTAGGTAATACATTGTATGAAGATTTCTTCTTATGGAGGTATGTAAGATGATATAACTTAGGAAAAGTGGTTTTGGGGTATTAATTTAGAAAGAATTGATTGGGTTTGAAAGGTTTAAAAGTATATTCATGAATTGATTGCATACATGTTTTAGGATAAGTTGGTAAAGTTTTAAAGGTTTCCATTTAGCAAGAAAATCCGGCATAAATCTATACCACTCATGACTTGAAATTGTGTTGATTAGATTTCGCAAGATTTTTCTAAATTTAATGTTCAGGTGAGTAAGAAAAACATTTGTTGTTGCACATGTATGGTCTATTTATGTTCAAGTCCAGAAAAACCCTCTATCTTTCTGGTTCATTCTTCATATAGTTCTCTAGAAAATCATCACAATCTCCAAAGATGAAATTAGTTTCCAGTGTGTTTATTCCTTGTGGATTTAAGCATATCATATTCCCCAGCTGGTAGCTAGAAATGATATGTTTGATTGACAAGTGAATGTTTTGATCATCATCAGAGGGTTGTACAAGTGTTAAGTGCAAGTCAATTAAAGGCCATAATGTAATCCAAGTCCCTTCCTTACCCTTGTATATTGTAGGGTTACTTATGTCAGTATTCATCAGAAGAAGAACTTCAACTTGTATTATGGACATTGAAATACACAATACGTGTTTTTGTTCTATAATTTTTGAGCTTTTGGTGGGGGTGAGTAGAAGAAGTTTTGTTAAATTTTGGTATTCCTGTAAACTTGATGAATCGCTGATCATGACAATAAATTCAATTGGTAAAAGAGAAAATGTGGTTGTTGAGTCAGACAGAAAGTCCCCCACACAAGCTTCAACACAGGCATGCAAAACTAAAACATTCAGAAAGACAATTGCATTGTGATTTGTTGACTTGACACAATTGAAGAAATCTTGGATCAGTAGAGCTTTCACTGCACAGCAGACATCTGATATATATATATATATATATATACTATCCTAGCATAGAATTGACGCAATTGAGTCCCTACTTCACACCAAAAACCATAAATTACACTGACCTCATCATGAAAATGGGGTCTTTTTCCTTGTTGAGACGTTATCCCATCTTATACACCTTGTGCATATACTGAGGACTGACTCAACTTAGTCCCTCCTTGATTCCAATGTCCAAATTTTGGACCTACTAGCATAGGATTGACTCAATCAATTCTCTACTTGAGACTGAGGGCCAAGAAACACATAACTTACACAGACTTTTAAGAATGGCCCCATTGTAGAAATGATTCTGTCTCTGCTTGAGACTCTATCTTATCTCAATGGCCTTGTATTAGCAACATGTACTAGAACTGGACTAACTCAATTTGAACTAATGGCCAAGGTATTTGAAACTATAGCCTGCTTTCTAAGAATGGTGATTACTCATACCAGCTCTCTGAGTCTCTATTGCAACTCAGTGGCCTGAGACATGGTCTAGAAGGACAGTAGCTCAGTTAAGTCTCTCCCTGAAACCAATGGCCAAGGGACTTGCATTCACTAAAGACTTCTTTGCATGACATGATACCCATTTCAAAATTGTGGTATTTAGGCCATAAGAGACTCAGTTGTAACTCAACCCTGGATAGTACTCCCATTGAAAAGGATACACAAGGGATTTCCCCAAGGACAATAATCACACTTACCATTTACTTTGGGCTGGACCCTTGGATTCACCTTTGCTTACCAAATACATGGACTGCTTGTATTCTAGTCTCTGAGATCCACATTATTGCAGTGATAAGATTAGTACATCAGGATGTGTAATTGATTTTGATCCAATCTCCAAAATTGAACAATGATACCAAAGTATCAAGGAATCTTTCTTTCCTTGTTTTCTTGAATAATCGAACAGGATTGATACATATGAATCCATACTGGGGAGCTAAGCATATTACTTCTATCCTTTGAGGTCCCCAATCATGTCTTCTTGCCAAATAGTTCTAGAGGAAGTTCAATCCTGTGTAAGATTGGGGCATCATACATTTGAGATATAAGGGACTTGGACTTTAAAAACCATCTCTTGCTTGACAAGTATATTTGAAAAAGTCCAAGTTGAGCCTATCTTCAACTCATCTTACCTGCTTGTTTCTTCTTTCAATTATATTTTTGGAAATGGTCATGTAGCCCAACATCTAGATGTACCTTTCAATATAGTTTGATTAGTGCAGAACCATGGTTCAGACAAAAGGAATGTAAAAGGTTCAGACAAGTAGACAATATTGTGAGGATCAAGAATGATCAAACTATTGATTTGTTCTCTCTGAAAGACTTGCTGAGTGATCCAATTTCCACTTTGCAGAGCAGGTTTGATTAACACTCGCCTTGAACAATTGTACATTCAGTGGAAACCCAATTTTTGATTTTTGGTTTTTGATTTTTGATTTTTGATTTCCAAGGAGTAGGTTGGTACCTCATGAGTGGCAATTGGGGTTTACAAGTGGATATGTCAAACAGCCAACCGGGTAGACTGGACTTGTGTACACTAATGTTAAAGATCGTGATTGAATGGGCTCATCGGTCTTCTGGGGATACAGAAGCACATGAACCGAATATGTACTCAAACCATGAGCAAAGCGTCAGACAATTCTATAGAAAACAAGTTCAAGTTTGACGTTCAATTTCTTTAATTTGTTCCCAATTTTCTTCTACAATTTCTAATCCAGCTTTAGCAGGGCTTTCAAGCTTATTACCGTCCGATCTTGCTTGACTTCCAAAACTGGAACCTACTACACCTACCTCATGTCCAAGATCAGTTCCTGAGGCACTTCCAGCCGTTCCACATAGCGCGTCCTTGACCATTTCCCAACGTCTTTGACCACTTCTAACACGATGAGGTACTACTACTGGATTAAGTTCGAATTCGCTTTCACCATCTCGTAGAATAGCTTGGTTAAGTGGTAAGGCTCGTATTGTGCCGTGAAGGACGTTTGGGATTGATGGTGGTGCATAAGGTACTGGTGGTTTTTTGAAGAGTAGTGAATCATCAATAAACTCAATCAACCTTTCACTTCAACACATCGAATCAAAACTCAGAGTCAGCTTGTACTGCCTTGCGGTTCTGACTTGATACTCGACGAGAGTTCTTCAGGGACTCAACTGGTCATCCAATGGTGCAAAGTTTTCGGCAGTATGGTAAAGCTCGATGATCGAACGAAGTTGGTTTTCATCAATTCTTGATGAACTTCGAGTTGATTTTCGAATGGTGCTTGCCGCATTACTTCCAAGTTGCTGATCAGGTTGAGTGTTTGATGGTGAGACTGTTGAAGAATGTAGAAGCCTAATTGTTCCTTGATTTGTTTTTGGTTTCGATATCAGCAACCGATTTAGCTGAATGCATGAAGGCCTCATGATGTTCAAGATGTTGGATAATTCTTTAACTTTGCCGAACGAGAACTTTCAGGAAAAGCTGAAGACAACTTTGAGGTATCCGGTCAACGGGCTAGCGGATCTCAAAAGACCGAACATCGGGTAATTTCAAAACCTGAACCGAAAGTGAATTTTGGTCAACACCATTTCATTCCACAACAAGCTCAACATGACTCAACTTCCTCAGCAATCAAAACTCAACAAACCTACAAAATCGTCACCAAAGTCATCCACAAAACAAGTTACGAGCATCAAAAAAGACAATCAGCCTAGAATCCAATCCGATGACGATGATTCAGGAGCGGAAAGCAGTTCAGGATTGTTCGACATTTCACAAGCAGATCAAATGAAACTTATCGAACAAACTGGAATCTTATCTCGTATACCAATGTCAAAACCTAGTCAAACCAAACGTGATTCTCAAAAACCACTCCTAGAGTTCGCTAAGCATGAAATCCCAAAACTTACACCTGAATCTGATGAAAGTTCAACGGAGGAGGAAGAGGAAGAATCAGACACACTTCCTCTTTGGGTAGACCGAGCTTTCGATACCTTTCTATGGACTATCCCTTTTTGTACTATCTTCATTTGTTTGTGAGTAGATGCCTCAAACTTTAAGCTCTAGCTTATCCAGCAAAAATTGATTGGAACCATGATTATCCATTTTGATTCAGAGATGTAGCAATTCATGCGCAATACGGCCAAGAAGTCTCATTCAACACAGAACTCAAAAGATTGGTCAATGTAGCACCATCACTAATCGTACTCATCCATTTCACTCTCCATTCCCCTAAGCACCTCTTCACTCGCTTCACCCTTTTCGGTTTATCAGCTATCGGTGGATCTTACATGGTTTTCGTCATGAATAAATATTCTTATCTATTGGTGATGAAACAAACTCCAGCTCTTGGTACACTTTGGATTTATTCTGTAGTCCGGATGGATTTGATTGATGCGGTCATCAGTTTGGTTATTGTTGCTGGTTGGTGTTGGGTTAAGAAATTGAGCCTTATGGTTTGAGATCTCTTTGTTAAAATCTTTGGTCCCTTATAATTGCCCGTCACAAGATGTGAGTCACTACATCGGTTGTTTTGTAAAATCCATTAAACTTTTGCAAGTATGTACTCTAGTATGTTCTCATTGAGAGAACCGATAACTCTTTCTTCTATATAGCAAGTGCAGATTTCAAAGTATGGCGTTGGTTGTGTAGTGAGATATCCAGCCTCAGGCTTGGGGATCTTTGTAAAATGAGACGTAAGAAGTGTTCACGAAATATACTGTTGGATAAACAGTGAATTGATTGTTGAAGCTGCAATCAAACATGTGAAGCCAAGAACCAGCACAAAAGATGCGACTTGTCAAAATCCATTGCAGGCGGTGACTAACATGAATAATTTGTACTCATCGACTGATATTAATTTTAAAAGAAACCCGAAATCGACTTATTTTGATCTTTGGGGTAAGCCTTGAGGCTGTAAGTTTGACTTCAAGTAGTTTTTTAAACACAATTCAATTTCAGCCGTTGTCTTTCTTTGACAGTTCATCCAAAGGCTAAAGTAACCAAGAACAAAAAATCAAAAGGAATGAAATCTTATCAGTATATTGATCTTTATCAAGAACGTGAGATGTGTGAATAGGCCCAGGTCGTACTTTCTCTCAGAAAGAGGAAAGAGAGGTGTGCCGGATTCCAAGGTCAAAAGTGTCAAGACGAGAAGTGAGTTCATTGAGATTTGGGTTCTTGTCTGGGATAGCTGATCTGTTTGACAAGGCCGATTTCTACTTTGCAAAGCTCGTCAAATTGACTTTCCTTTATCCCATGTAGTCAATCAAATACCTTATGATTTATTGTTTGTAGTAATCATGGGAAACAATTTTCCAGAAACTGATTCTATCGACTTATACTAGAGATTGACAAAATCGACCATTGTGATGCTTAATCTCAATAACATTGTTCCTTTTGGCACAAAAGTTAATGGTTTAATTACATTTTCAGTCATGATAACTACTTTTTTATGGACGTAAGACTATGGATTGGTTTATACATCATCTTACAGCTAAATATGTCTTTGTGAATCAAACTCCCAGTCACAATGATATAGAGATAGATAAACGAAAGGATGCAGGTTATAAGATCGTGATTAATCTAAAATATACTTTTATAATTCAACTCCAATGATTGTCCTGGCAGAAACGATTATTCGCCTTAGAAGCCGTGATCCTAGAATAACAAACAAGTTTGAACGAGGTGTCAGCAGTTGATCAATAAACTTTCGTCCGATATGATGGCTTACTCCAGTATCGAGACCGAATAGAGTTGAGATCTGGGCGATGGTAAGTTTGGGCAATCCTAGAAGCATATTGCTTTATGAGTTACTTTTCTTGCTTCTGTTTTTCAATGATCCAAACCAAAAGCTTACGTTTTCCGCTGCCTTCACCTAGAGCGTTGTCAGTGATCATTTGCTTCTTTAATTGAAGTTCTAACATTCGCTGCTCAACAGTGTTGTTGATCATGAGTCGTTTGACATTAACAATTTTTGTCTGTCCCAACCGATGAACGCGGCTATATGCAAAAAGAGCAGAGAGAAGCGATAAATGATGAGTAAATATGACATAGCAAGTCGAAGAAGAGAACACTTACTCAAAAGCTTGAGCCTCAGACGCCGGGGTCCAAGCCAAGTCGAGGTTAATCACACCTAAAATTTGAATGGAGCGTCAGTTGTATTATAATTCACTGACCACGCACTGAAAGGAAATAGTCTTACGGTTTCCACGAGTGAGATTCAATCCGACTCCTCCACATTTCAATGACATCAGCATCAAAGGCTTATCTCCCTTTTGAAATTCATGGACGGCGGCAGTTCCTGATGAGGACAGAGTTTTGATTAATTAAACGATTTCCTGGACGGACACCGGCTGAATATGTACTCACTCGCTTTTGAGTCCATACTACCTTGATATCGGGCGTATTGGAAGTCATTCTCGTCGAGGTACTGAGCCACAATATCCAGGAACTACAGAATGGACTTCCAGTTAATGGATACATTTGTAACAAAGCACAAAATTAAGCTTACGGATGTCCATTGACTGAGTATGACCACTCTATCATCTGGGGCCTCTACCCGAAGACGCTTAAGCTCCTCCAAAAGATAAACTGTGAGATCAAGTCATGATTGTTAGTTGAAGTGAAAAAACAGGACAATAAAAGATCATAAGAACCTACCCAGTTTGGCAGAGGGTATCACCGCATATTGAGGTTTAGCCTTTGCTTTGCCTTTACCCAAGGACACCTCCGGAAGTTCGTCCTCGTCATCGTCTATGACGATGTTTTTACGTTTGGAGGTCAGGATGACCCCCTCCTCCTCGTCGTCCTTCTCTTCCTCCGGTTCTTCGGGCAAAAAGGCGGTCCGAAGGAAAGTGTCGGTGCGCTTGAAAGGCGCGCGGCAATTAGGACAGGGTTTGGAAACCTTTTCAGGGTCTTGAACTCGGTCGTTGATGACATTCGCGTGGTCTTCGTGATCCATGATTTGATTGATGCAGCCCTTACAAAACGTGTGGAGGCACTTCGTGATCCTTGCAGTATGATCAAGTGCATCGCTACATATCTGAAATCGAAGACGTGTGAAAGGAAATTAGAATAGACAAACATAACATATAATCAAAATGACTTACCGGACACTCTGGTGCTGTGGCATCCGGGTTTCCCTATGAACAAGAAGTCAGTAATAGGAAGAGCATACAAGGCAAACAAATCATTCACTTTTTCAACTTGGACCAACTCATCAAGCTCTTCTTGACATTTGCGAACCACGCGGTCAACCCAATCTTGACCCAACGTGTCAATGGCACGTTTCAATTCTTGCATCGGGTCTTCTCGGTTTGCTACATCGGCGTCATCTCCATCACCTTCTTCGAGACAAAGATCCTGGAGAAGCGGGTCAGCCTGGAGAGAAAGAGAAGATGATATCTGGATACATGTGCTTACTGGGTGTCCACAAGCTTGACGTAAGCGAAGCAGCATTACAAAGATATGCGACAAGTTCTACGTTAGATGGTATACATGTCAGTGAAAGTGACGACGAATATGCTAAGCGACTTTTTGCACTCGCCTTCAAAACCGTTCCAGCGCGGAGAAACTTATTGAATTTAGCTTGCATATGTTTCTCGATGCAGTCGTAGACTTCACGCTCTTCAATGGACATGTCTAACATCACGGCTTCGATGACCTTTTCGGGCAGTATGATCAGGGGTTGCCCGTCAAGTTTCGTGGTCTTTTGTCGACGGAGTGTAAACGTTTTTATAATAGTCTGAGCACGCTGACCAGCTAAGTTGGGCCGTTTTTTCTCCCAATGTGTGATACGTTGTCGAAACTCGCGCAGGTCATTGTATGGTCTGATTTTCAAAAAACGGAGCTGAGGATAGATATCCATCAAACAGTTGAAAATGGGAGTACCGCTCAAGGACCATCGATAAATGGACTTGAGGGCGCATACGGCTCGACTAAGTTTCGACTTTGGGTTCCGAATGTTTTGTGCTTCATCAATCACGACCCGGTACCAGTCGATTTCAAGAAGAGGACCGGTTATGAGCTTCCGCGGAGTTTGAGAACTATCTGCCAATTCCTTTAGCGCTGCTTCATCATCTGGCCATTGTCCAGTAATCTGACCAGGAGTAGTAATGATGACGTCGTATTTTTGTATGCTGTGCTTCGATGGGCGCTCATACTGACCGTGGTAGAGAAGAATTTTGTAATCAATGCTGCATTTTTCTTCTATCTCAGCTTTCCACTGGGTGATCAGCGCGAGAGGCGCAATGATGAGGGTGGTGCGTCGGTGTTTGTCAGAGGGAAGATTAGCAGCCATCGTCGCAATCACTTCGACAGTTTTACCTACATAGGGGACCCAACTTAGCACGACCAAGGACGTAAGTAGTTTGCTTTGACGATCTCACCTAGACCCATCTCATCAGCCAGCATCCCGCCGCGATGAGAACCTTTTTCCTCTTTCACCATCCACGATACACCGATAATTTGATGTCTAAGGTACATACGAGAGTCAGAATAATGGAAATCATACCAGAAAGAGATCCTGAAACACTCACGGCATCAACTGACATGTCATCCCCGCGATGTACGCCTCGCCAGTTTCTGGCATTCCGAGATCCTTCCTGGCTTGAGCTACAGTTGCATTGTGCTCAAAGTCGAGGTTCATGATAGCCTTCTTGTAAAATTCATCACGTTGAGCATCAGTCATAGCGTTAAGCTCGGGGTTTTGAAAGAGGGGATTCGGCAAGTCTGCGTCATCCAAGTCGATCGGAGCGCGTTCGTCCTCAGGGCTAGAATCGCGCATGAGGTGAGAAGCCGCGCCGCGAGGAGATGCGACAAGCTGCGAATTTACGCCAGTGATCGGGGCACGAGGAGGAAGGACCGGCTTCATAGGTGTTGGAGCGTTATGATCGACATAGAAAGGTGACTGAGCGTTCGAGGTGCTTGCGTATGGTGTAGGCGTGTTATTTTGCATGCTTGGCTTGATGTCCCAGCCGCAAACACCCGGCTTGACGTCTGGCTTGACGTCTGAACTGTACACGCTTGGCTTAACATCTGACGATGGCCCCGATGACCAAAACGAGTCACCAGACGGCAACTCTTTCAATTCTAAAGATCGCCAAAATAAAGTATGGATCAGGATCACAAAAAATACATAATTCTGAGGATGTATACACATGAAAATCAGATAGCATCTTACGTTTTTCCAAACTGTACTTGAGCTTGAGCTTCTCTGTCGTCTGTTGTCGAACTTCTTTGACACGAAGAAAATTCTTGGTATCCATGGCACCCTTAAGACATGTCGAAAGATATTCGAGAGCAAGAACGGTTTCCTGCAATTCGCGTTGCAGTTGATTACGGTCGACCCTTGGGGGTTGCGCGATGCGAATCGGGGGCGAGATAGTCGCTCTTTGAAGAGCGGCGGTGATTGGCTTGACATCACGGGAGGAGGCAGGTGTTCTCGAATCGCTCGTTCTGAGCCGAGCCATGGAACTTTTGAGGGGGACGCGGCTTTCACCGTCGAGGCAAATGACATGATCATCTTCATCGGAAACAACCTGTGTTGAAGAGGTGATATCAGGCTTTTCATCTTGCACTGCGATTTCGCTGTCAGAGGAGTCGATTACAATGGGCGATCTCTCCATTTTAGGTTTCTTGCTAGTAGGAGTACGCTACATAGGGTACAGAGTCACAGAACAGATATCAGCTTTGGCCATTCAATGTAGGGGACCAAAAAACTTACATAGTTTTCCGATATCTGTCGCTTTGGCGTAGGGGCTTTCGAAGTAGATGTCTGCGATGTAAAAGGGTAACGGGAGGTTATTTTGATCAGTGGATTTAGGAGAAAAATGTGAGGCCCGAGATGAAACGTTGAGCTTACAAATAACAACTTCTTCTGAACGAGGCCAGCTTTTGACTTGCTCGGAGATGACCCCGTAGGATTGACATTAGGTGTCCTTTCCTTTGTTTTGGAAGATCAAAGAACAAGACAAAGGAAGATCTCATATTAGGAACAATGGGATCGTATATCGCAAGTGGAAAAGGGGACTCACATGAGCCTTACGTACTCTCGCATCGCGAAGAGAACGGTGGATGCTACTGTCCTACAAATCTCAAACAAGGGGATTAAGCGAAAGGACTTGGCCTGAGACCAGAACAAGGGCAAAACACTCACGCGAATGTGGGATTGGAATGCGGACAAGCCACCGATACCCTCAGATCTTCCTCCATCAGCGACCGACTCACGCGGGTACAAACTAATTTGAACGTGACCGCAACCGGGTTCATGACAATCGACCTCTCCATCTGAATTAACAGATCATTTCAGTTTAGGTCCGAGATATGTACAAGTTGTGTTGTGAAAAGCGAAAAAGGAAAAAGGTGCGTTGCTCACATTGTCCTTGACCTGCAAACGGTCGCAAGCGGAATAAATAATCATGGGGAAAGATTTCACAATGTTGGCGCAATTGGTTCAAATAGGCTTTAGGGATCTAATCAAATAAAACACCAGAGATCGAGTGAGATGAATGTTTGGGTAGTTCCGGTTCGATAAGAACGTAGCAACTTGAGATATATTAGGTAAGACTCAAGGTTGACTTGACATACATTACGTAGAGGGGCCAGAAGTTGAGCGCAAGCGAAGCCCTCAATCTCTTCGTCAGAGTACTTTGGGTTGGGAATAGGGTTCATGTTGTGGTAGATACAGGTTTATATCTGTTTAGGATTCAAGTCATCAGCAAAACGATCAAGCCAAAGTTTATGCACAAGGTGCAGGAATACGAACGTTTTGTATAACAATGGTTTGAATTGAATGATATCACGATCTCGATATTTGTGGTGATGATGGATTGTGGAGTTAAGTCTTAGAAAGATGGTACAGAATGGAAGTAAAGGGGAGAAGAACAAGATTAAAAGTGCTCTCGAATTGAAATGGTCTAATTGAGATCCGGAAAAGGTAAATTATTTGTAAATGGGGTCCGAATGAAGACAGAAGTCTAAGACGCGTCGCGATGCGTGGTCGTTTTTGATCTTTTTTCATCCAGGGTCCAAGACAGTATGTAATGGCCCAGCTTGTATAAATGAAAAGTATTTCCTAGGCTTTTGTATTCAGAAAGACTCAAATGAAAAGTTGATTCCTCAAAACAATGATAACGAAATAACGAAGTGTTTCGATAGAGAAGAAAAAGAGAAACAAAAGAACCATGGTATGATAACGACATCTTATACTAAATAATAATGATGAAATGAATTATGACATCATAAGCAAAGAACCGTCTTCGTAATCATCTTATGTAATCTCGTCTCTCCAACTACAAATGTGCATAACAACGACCTAAGATCATGATTCATTACAAAGAAACATGGATAAGGGAACTCACGATAGACTTGAGAGGAATTGCTTTAAGAATCATATCACACGGGTATGGGCGAAAAACCCAAGGCATAATGCCTAGGGGAAATAATTTCTCCATGATGATAACGACACCCTACGGGGTGGTAGCGGAACAAATGAAAAAATCACAAAATAAAACCCATGCTTAAAAGATAAAGGTAAAAAACTACTCAAGGAACTATCTTAAAAAATATAAAAGGCCAAGCTTAGCTAAAAGGAACTAACTTCAAAATATAAAAACCAAACTCAAATTTTTGAAATAAAGAAACAAACGCTGATGAAACAACAAATTCAATATTGTAAGTCTCTTCTCTGTTTTTTTCTTTTTGTAAAAAAAATAAATAAGAAGGAAGATAAAACTCAATATCAAATAACACCACTAGGGAAAAGAGGTGGGAGGGATGCTAAAATACAAGATATATAGGGTATACAAAGTTGTTCTGGAAATTTCCAGAAGGCTTTTTCCAGAACGCCAGAAGTTTTTTTTTTGGTGTGTTCTGGCGTTCTGGTGTTCTGCAACTTTGAATGCCCCACACTCCAGAATTCCAGAAGCCTGAGTACACTACCGCTGGCACTCCCCTCATCCCCTCAGAAACCAAATCTTGTCTCTCTCTCATCTCAGCACTTCCGTTCTCACATCTCAATTCTGCTCTACATGCCATTCCTCCCGCAATAGCTCAAAAAACCGACTATAATCACTTTAATGTCTCCACCAATTTAGGCTTAAGATCGAACTCAAAAGATTCTGTAAGATATATACACTTGAAATACATTTTGGTTTGAAGGAGGTCTTGTTCCTTTTTGATGAGATGAATGAAAAAACAAAACATGCATCTCTCAAAGAGACTCCTGCCGGGTGTATATCTAAAAATCCATTTGCATAGTCAGATTTTTCTATCAGACTTTCATGGAAACAAGCTCTGAATTTGTTCGCTCATTAGAAACAAACACAGACTGGCGATCGATTTCAAAAGAACAAAAGAAATCAAGATAACATTCTTTTTCATTCGGAAAAGTTTGAGACACAACGATATAGGTAAGACAACAATAATCGAGTTGATGACACATCTTGATTATTTTTGAGAAACCTTTGAAACTCAACAACGAGTACAAAGTGAGACTTGAAGAATGTTGAAACTTGACAAAAAGTACAAATTGAGACTATTCTCAATACGATTATGAAATGAATCCGCTTAGATCGACTGTTGTGCTTGAAAACCTAGAGAAAATGGATGAAAATCATAAGCATAAAAGCACCCCTGTGTATCAATTGAATTGCAGTGAGAGCTTTGTCTCGGTGTATCGATCGATTCACGGCGAATGAGCATTTAAGAGTTTAGAACGAGCGTGATTCGAAGCCGATCTTGATATCTGGAATGGGTTGCATACAGAAGTTTGGTGATCTGGAGTTCAATTTGAAAGTCGACCGGAAGGCCTGAAGTGCAGATGGGTAAATTCCTAAAGTCGATGTTGTGATAACTTGATCTTCTTCGGTGGGCTCGAGGTGGGGTGGTGGCATGATGAGTTGTTGTGTTTTCCAGAACGCCAGGACGCTGCCAGAAGGGTTCTGGCGTTCTGGAAATAACCTTCTGGAAATTGCCAGAATAACTTTGTATACCCTAATAGAAGTGGATGATAATAGAAAGGAAAAGAGTTTTTTGACAAAAGTGAACTTGATGGGAAAATTTGGAATGGTGCTAAACAACTGGTAAATAACTATGACATCATTTCAGATATACAAAATATGGGTCTGGAAATTTCCAGAAGGGTTTTCCCAGAACACCAGGAGTTTTTTTGGGTTTATTCGGATGTTATGGTGTTCTGAAGCTTTGAATAACCAACACTGTGTGTTTTCCAGAACACCAGGAGGCTTCTGGTGTTCTGGAAAAAGTTGTCTTGAAATTTCCAGAAGAATATTTGTATACCCTGATTGCTGTCAACCATGGATAAACTGTAAAGTTGTGGCATACAAAGTAGGAACCTGGAATCAAATCCGGTTTTTTTTCAGTTTTTTTTTGGCTGTAGAATCAGTTTTGCTGTTGGGTGATCAGAATACCAACCTGTATCTACTTTTTGTATTTGACTCAATTTTTCAAAATGGCCATCCAGACTGTCTTCAATTGCTCTCTTTTATACAACTATCAAAGATTATTAGGGGTTGGGCAAAAAACCAACCAACCAGTTTCTGAAGTCCATTGATTGGTGATTTAGTTTTTTAGGAATGCTCAGGAACAATTACTAAAACAGTATCAAAGCCGACAAAAAAAACTTGTTGTTTGCTTTGCTTTGCAACAGAATCACCAAAAGTAGACTGATTGGCAGTGTTCTTCATGATTTTAAAGCTCAAACAATTCAAAGACAAACAGCAGTTTGCGCCACTCAAGCCACACAAACAAGAGCTTTCCACCTTTCACAAAGCTATCCCAGGTACCACCTAGGCTCTTTCAGAGCTCAGCTCAGTTGAAAAGGCCTGTCTTCAGACCCAAACACTGACTTTGGGTAACTTGGCAGAGCGGCAGATCCGTGAAACCTGCACACAGTTGTTTCCAGCCATCTTCAACCCACTTCGACTCACTTCTCAAAGGCGCGAAACTGGTTGGTCAATTTTTTGCCTGACCCCTATTACAATTAATAGAAAAGGACATCAAATAAAAGTCTTGATCAATTCAAAGACTGATTAAATAACAAATGTAAGGAAATAAGAGACTTGAAAGCAAAGAAACTTGAGAGAAAACCTGTTGTAGATACAAAACTACGTGGAATTGATGAAATATTGAGGATACCAGAGCAAAGCAGTGAGCATTGAACAGGGTGATATAAAAAGGGTGTGTGGTGAAGCCCAGATGCAGGAAGGAAATCAAACAGTGATCAATTGAGGAGGGGGGCATTGACTCACATCAAGATATTGGCTCAAGATACAGCCAAAAGGCTGTATCTCAATATGCACAATTATCTCAATTTTGTCAATCAGATACTGACATCAGAAATTTGAACCCAACACCAATTGGATTTTGAATATCTGGTCAAGTTTGGATCAAGATATAATGTGGCCACATGTAACTTTTTTGGTGTTGATTTTTGCCTCATCCTATCTTGTTGCGGTGTCCAAACGGGCCCTACATTTGGTTTCTAGAGATGAGCTTTATAATTGAATAAAGGTTGTTTGGGTGCATTTCTGAAATGACATGAATCAGCTTTCATCAGAGATTTTTTAGATAATTTTGGATCTGAGTTTAATCAATGGTATTGATTTGGAGAATTAAAAATGGGTCAGACATTTAAGGGTTAAAAGAATTATTCATGACAAACCTTGATAGTTTATGTAGTGTAATACTAGAAGCTGAAAATAGAGAGAATTTTCAGAAGGAAAAGAAAGAGAACTGATGGTGATCATGATGAAGTGAGTAATTTGGTCTTATATTTCCGTAATGGTACCAGACTGGGACTGAGGTGTGTGATTGTTGCATATGATATGAAGAAGAAATTAGCAAGGAATCAATCATTGAAAGTGAAGAGGGAGTCAAAAAAGGGTCAACAATTGGAAAACACTTGGGACTCAAAACTTTCTTCTCATGAATCACTCTTTGCAGTCTTCACCAGTGAGACTGGCTGGAAGAGGAAAGCATCTTCATTGAAGCAAATCATAATTTTTCTCCGCAATTTGTAATGATTTTGACACCTCATCAGCTAAGTCCTTGGGAAAGCAAGGAGTGTAAGTATAACCACAGAGGTGTACTCACAAGTGAATCTTTTGTGGTTGCTGTTGACAAATTGCCTTTAAGGTCTCATTTCATTGACCTCCTTGTTGTTTCCTCATCTTTTATTTTTACCTCTCAAAATTCAATTTTATCATGATGTATGAAGCTGTTTGGAAAAAAGGACAATCATATCTTGTCTTTGAGTCGATTTTACCATTGTGAAGTGGTGTGATGAATGGTGTAGAACTTATAACCCTTGTTGGGTTATAGATACATAGATGATGATGAAAAATGGGGAAAACAATCCCAAAATCATCCATGAGTATATATGTCAATGTGTTACAACTCTTACACTGGTCAATAGCCTCAAAAACCAACCAATTTTGACCAAAAACCCTAAAGGCCATGTAATGACACAATGTAATGACTTTGTTGCTAATAGATGATATGATTTACACAGCCAAAGTGATCACTGATGTAATTAGATGTTACATAGCGCTTCTTATGATGACTACAGGTGATTTTTTTCCTTTCCTTGTAATCTGGCTGAAACCCTATTTTTGTGATTACGGGTTTTTTCAGATGATGTCCAATTCTTGACAATTACTAAAGTGAATCTTATAGAGCTTGTGATGATGATTAATAATTGACTCCATATTAAGTACTTCTGCTGACTAATGGATGAGTTATAGAGCTGTGAAGTTAAGGTTTTTGTATGTAAATGTTGTTACATGTATGCATGTAGGTGTAAAATTCGAAG